GTCTTTTCCTTTATCCTCATCCTGAGCTGTGATTTTCATCACTGATGTTCCAATGGGCACATCCTCTTTGATAAATCCCTTATCCACAAATGATGGGAACAATGGCCTGTAGAGATTCTCGTTTACGTCCACAACTTCCACCTCAATGTGACAACTTGAGGACAAAGATATCGGCTTCCCTTTGTCCTTTGCCCTTGCTGTGAGACTGTACACTTGCTTTTTCTCGTAATCCAGATTCTGCACGATTCGTACGGCGCCACTCAATTTGTCTACTTCAAATTTCCCATCCCCATTGTCAGCGAGGCTGTATCGTACCTGGCTAGATGGCCCAACATCTGGGTCGTGAGCTTCTAGCCACATTATAACAGTACCAATGGGTAGATCCTCACGAACTCTCACCTGATAATTTGGAGGAATAAACTTCGGAGGGTTGTCGTTTACATCCTCCAGTGTGATTTTAAGCAACACAGTCGAGACAAGTCGAGGTTCACCAGCGGCCTGGTCGCGAGCTGCTATCTTGAGAATAAAACTGGGTTGCACTTCCCGGTCTAGAGGCTTCTTCACCGTAACGATCCCTGTTTCCATATCAATAGCAAATTGATCTGTGTCTGCCAATATGGAGTATCTGACCACACCATTATCACCAAGATCTTTATCTTTTGCTTCAACTTGAATTATCTCTGTGCCCACCGCAGTGCCCTCGCTGATGTCCACCGAGTATGCGTCCTGTAAAAACTGTGGGCTGTTGTCATTAGCATCCAGGATCTTTACATCCAGCAGACGTGAAGATGACTTCTGGGGTATTCCAAGGTCATACACGGTAATGTTCAATGTATAGTGATCAGTTGTTTCTCTATCAAGAGGTGCGTACACTTTGAGCCATCCGCTGTCCATTTCAATGACGAAACAACTTTCAGCGTCACCCCCAGAGATAACATAAACCAGTTTTCCATTAAAACCGCTGTCAGAATCCATGGCACTAAGATGGACAATCCTGGCCCCAACAGGCAAGTCTTCCTTGACCTCAATCACACTGGGAAAAGTTTCTACAAACTGGGGTGCAATGCGGTTCACAGAGTGAAAGTCTTGGAAGTGGTCTTCGGGTTCGTTTTGGCTGTGGATCTTGCTTCCTTGCAGAAGCTTTTCTGCCAGCATGCTGGCAACTCCAGTATCAACACATTTCACTTGGACTGGTTTACGTGCCGTAACGACTGTAATGTTCAAAAACATGGGCTGAGTTTCATGTTCTCCATCACTGGCTATGATCTGCAAACTGTGATAGGACACTTTTGCTGCCTCACCCTCACTCAAAGGCTGCTTTAAGGACAGAATGCCTGAGTTTGAATTTATTTCAAACAGATTCAAGTCATTCCCAGCTTTTATTCTGTACCTCACCAACTGCAACTCATCAGCATCGATAGCAGACACGGTTGTGATTTGCTCACTAACACCATGGTCTCTTGGCACAGTTATGTCACAATCCACATTCTCAAAAAGTGGCTTGTTGTCGTTCAAGTTGTTAAGTGTGACTGTAACCTGAGTTTCCACCTCACGTCGAAAAGGGGAACCCCAGTCTGACACCCGCACTTTCAAGGTATAAATCCTTGGCATCAGTTCATAATCCAAAATCTCTGAACTACTGATGACGCCAGAGAAGTAATCAATAACAAACGGCTGGGGATTCACATTGGCAATGCTGTAAGTGACATATCCATTTTCCCCACTGTCTAAATCAGTGGCTTTCACTGTTAGTACACTAGTACCTATGGGCATATTTTCATCAATGCTAGCTTTGTAAGATGTCTGTTTGAATTCTGGGCCGTTGTTGTTCACGTCGATCACATTGATAATTACTTTTGCAGATGCTTTTTTGTCGCTGGTCATAACTTCTAATTCATATCTGTTCATGGAGTCTGCATGAAGGGGCCCAGCTGTTGTAATCAAGCCTGAATCTGCATTAATAGCAAAATTATTTTTATCCAATTTGTGTCTAAATGCATACTTAAGTTGAGGATACTTTGGCACAGCTGTTACCATTACAACAGGTGTGTTCAGTGGTGCAAATTCACTCACATTGACTCTGTAAGTAGCTTGACTGAACTTAGGAGGCCCTACTTTAAAGTGGGGAGACATGACATGGATGACCTTTGCGGATGAAAACTGGGGTGGACTTCCTTTGTCTTTGGCTTGCAGTGTTAGGTTGTATCCAAAGGGCTGACTATCCCAGTCGACCTGCTTGACTGCTTTGATTTTATATTCCTTACTGCCTGGACTTGTGCGCATGGCTTTAAACTGCTGAAGAGGGTCACCTGCAACCACACTGAGAGATGCTATCTCACCATTAGCACCTTGGTCACTGTCTTCAACAGTCACGACAGCATAAGTAGGGTCCTTGTCAGTGTCTGAAGGTGCTAGGGTTACAGCAGTGATGACCGGTGCATGCTCGTTGGCCTGCTCCACTCGTACCGTTAACTTAGCCATGCTGCTAAATCCACTGCTACCATACAGTTTCATGCCTCGGTCCACTGCTAAAATCTCTAATTCATACTGCTTTGTCTCAGAGTAGTCCAGCTTTCCGGTTAGCATAACTACACCACTTGTGGGGTGGACCGAAAACATGTCCGTCCATTCTCTCAAGCTGTAGTAGTACTCTCCGTTTGTACCGATATCCGCATCCGTCGCCATCACCTTGGCTACACTTGTGCGAATAGCTGTGTTTTCTGGTAAAGATATGCTATAAGCGGTTGGGGAGAACAATGGCCGAAGATCATTTGTGTCCAGTACCTGAATCATGACTCGTGTTCGAGCCTCAGCATTTGAATTCTTTTCCATGGCTTTGACTGTGAGAATATAGTGGTCTCTAACCTCCCGGTTAAGAATGGCACTGCTACCTCCTTTGGTCCTTATTCGCAAAAAACTAAAGTCTCCCAATTGATAGTCCTCAGCTTTGAACAGGTTCTCATTGTCTCCCGACACGATTTTGTACCGTATTTCCCAGATAGGATCTGTGATGTAGATTCCCATTTTGACAAGACTTTCCACATAGGTCTTAGCAGCAGAGTTCTCATAAATGGTAGCATTGTAAACAGACTGGGTAAACAGAGGGACGGGCGCAGTGTCGAGGCTTTGGATCCCAGTGCAGCTGCACAGGAGCAGCAGAACCACAAGCAGTGAAGTCACGTGGTTCTGCATGATTGCAGCACACTCCTCACTGAAACTGCACAGAAAAAAAGAGAAAACGTTAAGATAACACAGCTCCACTTTTAATAGATTTAGCACATTTGGGACACATTTAAATGGTTTGAGTCGTTCATCTGAAAACTTAATATCTAACACTACTTAAATTATCATTAAGAAGGTATTCATGGGTTGAAGCAGATAAGAAACTGACAGACAACTTTTAAATATCTGTTTATGGCATATCATCACTCAAAACAAATATGATTAGTGCATCAGCATCCATAGACACAGCCGCTGACTATTTGTCTATATTTCCAACTTCACCATAGACACCATGACAGCAGATAGGCCAAATTATGAATTGTTGTTAAAACTGTGAGGATGGACGTGCCTTTTGTGTATACATATAAAGTCACATTCCACTGCCTCTTGAATAAATTATGCATTATTCTCACCGCCTCCTGCCATACATCTTCTTCAGCTCAGAACAAGACAATGTGCACAGAGAGATGTATTCAATAATGTGTTCATAACATAAGTAGGAAAACATTGAATATGAATATGAAAAGCTGATCAATCACAAAACTTTATTTTTATTTTTCATCTCTACTTTGACCTGCATTATTTACCAGAACACGCTATAAAGAAGTGCTTATTGCCTATTTAATCATATGTATTAGTGGTAAATAAATGTATTAGGCCTATTATAGTGGTTCTTAGTATTCGTAATATTCGTTTAGCCTATTTTCTGATATGCTACACATCAGGGAAGTGCCATTTGCATGGCTAACCATGTTAAACAAATCTCTAGAAATCTTTCAGCGTTCGTTTCATCAATTCGCATTTGCTAAAATACGCACATATTCGTCTAGCTTGCCGACGAAAGACGGAGCAATGTAGAAATCCCAAACAATAATACAACATTTAACATTTTGTAAGCTGTTTTGTGTGCAAAGCAATTTACAAACACAGGTCTTCACACTCCACGAGCGCGTGCTGGAGATTTCCAAACATCCTCGCGACTATTCGTGCCCTCCAGCATATAAAATAGCAAAAGACTCGCAGTCGTTAAAAAGACGTTTAGTTCAGAAATGAAACAAATATGACTGAACTTTCTCAGCGACACCAAAGAACCATAAAACCTCTTACTTGTTAGCACACTAATCAACATACTAAATAAATTGTTTTCATCACAAGAACAGCGTTAACTCTCCTAAATACGGCAATTTAGCCTATGGAATGGAAACAAAATACCAAAGTAACAAAAGACGGGCTTCTGCTCCGTTGTTAAAGTGTATCCCCATCCCCCAGTCAGTCAGTTCCTATTCATTTCACGTCGCCACACTACTGGTGCCTTCATGCGCTGGCCAGATGTATGAACTGTTCCCATTTAAAAACAATTAGCTGACCACTCTGGACCGCATATCTTATAAAATTCAACTGGAACTCAACACACTGAGTATTCCAACAGCTTTGCCAAGCTACGTTCAACTTCAAAGCTGCCCTATTTCCACTACGGACAGCAGTGGAGAACTCCCAACGGCAACTTTACACCGCGAGCTGACTGAAACTTTTACGCATTTCTGAAAATAGCACAGAAAACTAGAACAAGTCCAAAAAGCCCTCACGCAAATTTAAGACTTCCGAAATCGTACATACCTATTTCAGTCCTAACGTCCTTTGTTTGGTGGCTTTTCATGAAGTTTATAAGTTCCGAATCTCTGCATGGTACAGACACTCTCAGCCGCTCTCTCTGCTCACTGAACTATCCGATCCGCACACACACACACAAAGCGCTCTTAGTATCACTCCGCGCTCCTTGCCCAGCGCACGGATCTACTTCCTATTGGCATGAAGATGAAACGGCCGTCGCTCTCCCCTCACAGTGGGACGGGAGAAGTCTTTGATGTTTTATTTTAAGTGCCAAACCTCTGTCTCTAATGAAGAAATATGCTGAATCATGCGTTTTTGGAACAAAAGCAGAGAAATGATCTCCATGGCTGTCAGCATTTGAGATACTCGTCATGATAAAGCCCTGCGCGGTACCTACATTACTTATCAATAAGGATGTCAAAGTAACACCGGTATTTCGGTAGCCTACCAAGTCGATAGAAAAAT